GACTACTTTTATGCACAATGGAAATAATAGTAATTTTAGCACGCCCTGTATGATATGGAGTCGATTTCTTGGTGTTATTTGAATATTTCGAGTTTGTCCAAACTATCATCAAAATATCAACTTTTCATGAATTGAGAGTACTGATGTACTTAATTTCAATTAAGGCTATGTTTTGGACCATAACCATAACATAACCAAAACAAAAGTTTTGAAAATGGTGTAATAGCCGAAACCGGTCAACAATAAAGAAATATAGTGGAAAATAGACAAAAGTGTGTTTTTGTAGTGTATCCTCAGTGAACATGAATTTCCACAAAATAAACAAGTCGTCAATCGAAGAAGACAATTCAAATTATTATCTTATAGCTGAATTGAAACCACCACGTTAAAAATGAATTCAAGCGACCTGACAAATTTTTCTTTTGTGCTGTCTTTTAGTACATATTATTATATCGTACCTATTTCGATATTCCGGAACGCTCCGGAATGTTCTGAAATGCTTTCGTATACTTTCGGAAACCCACAAGGATGGGAGATCCATACCGCACCATTAGAACTCCCTTGGGTAACAGTAGAGTTGGCAACCAAGGGACATGGACATTTCATTAGGAGTGCCACACAAAGGGTAGTTTCAACTACCAAAGAGGGGGAATAACTAAGTCAATAGGGCTTAGGTCTGCAATGCCGGCTGGCAATAAATGCAGCAACGTGGAAAATAGTGAGGTGGAGAGGAGCAGGCCAAGTAAGGAAAGCTTGAGTCTAGATCGCCGGCGGGCATAATACACATAATACACCCTAGGTCAATCTGAAAGAGCAGAAAAATGCTGGGTCTATGCGGCCCCGACCAGGTTCGCCGGCGGGCATTAAAAAACATAACAACATGCCTAGGGGGGCAGAAATATCAAGTGGACTCAACTTAGGTGGTCTTCGAGGCGAAAAAAGGTACAGGGGTAACCTGCAGGGATATCAAATATCAGCCAATTTATTCACATAAGAAATTTGTAAACAACCTAAATTAGAAGAATATGAACAGAAGAATATGACAAACATCCAACAAAGGCCCTGTACGAATCAGTAGAGGAAAAAGATTGTTGAAATGGGCGTCATGAAAAAAGAGGGGAAAGGCAATACGCCCTTGATACTGCACTGACTGCAGTATTTTCTGGAGACTTGTAAGACATGGACGGAAGCAGCAAAAATTGAGGTCGCATTGTTTCTCTTACCTTTACAAGTTCGTTGAGGATGAGGGATTGCGGAAGGTTATCGAACACGCCATCAGTGGCTACGAGGATGACGTCCCCGTCTTCGACGGGGAAGTTGTCGGTGATGGCAGAGTCGGGTTGATCGCTGAGCACCTCTTGCTGGTAGCCGGGAGGCGGCAGCGACAGCTGGAAGGGAGTGTTGAAGTAATGCTGCTGCTCCTCCGATTTGTGGATGACTTTGCCGCGGCGCACCACCATGACGCCGCTGTCGCCGATGTTGGCCGTGTAGAGGGTGCTATTTTCTTTGTTGAGAATGACGACGCACGCGGTGCTGCTACCTGGAAAGACAGGGAAAATTGAGTTGATACGAGATTTTGGCGGGTTTTCGAAAAATTTTATGGATCAATTAGGGACATCAATATTTTTCATTAATTCCGGGTGTCAGTGAAATTCAAGTTGATGTATGGGAATCTCGGAAACGGTAAGAGTTACAGAGAAGGTTGAATGGACGCAAAGTTTTATAATACAAATCCTGTCGGAAAACAACTACTTCTCCGGCTAATACCACGCTGGATACTAAATTATATCCGACAGATATTTATGCAATATACCTCACAGAGGTTAGTCTCGCAGATATTTCTCGTTCATCCAGCAGCAGGACTATGCTGAAATCAATCGAGTAGATCACCTGCAGACCGGTTTCGAGGTATTACCTCTCATCAGTGCAGGAAAAATCCGACCCAGGCAGCAACGTGCATGGGACTTATCTAACAGACGAAGTTTCATATATGCAGTGAAGTCGTATTGAAATTATTATTTCATCATTATATCGGTTTGAAGGGAATAATACGAATAATTTGTTCTGTTTTAAAAAAAATCTGTTTTTCCGTTAATCAGCTGTTGCCCCCCATACGAACGACAACTCTCAGAAGTTGAGAAACTGTTCTAACTAACTTCAGAATAAATTATGGCTGCCAATATAGAAAAAGAAAAGAGGAAAGCAGAAACAATTTTATAAAAAAAATAACCCACTGATTAAAATTTTGTTCATACATAACTAATTTACTCGTGCATTTCATTAGTTCGAACTTCCATTGTCTAATATGATATTAATTGNTAAGTTTTTAATTAATCAAATCTACAACTAAAAATAAATCTCTAATAAAATAACCCTCAACTTATGGGAGTAAGTGTTTATAACAAGTTTGCCCTAAAATTTATATCTGATTTTGATGCACTCTAGTTGAAGTGAAGCAAGCAAACGAATCGTGGATTGCCAAAAAAAGTTTTTTGACATTTGTCGAGGAAGTTTGGAAATGAAGAGGACAGTGAAGAAAAAACTGCCAATATACTGAGATTTTTTCCAATTCTGAAGAATAGTTTAGACTAGTTCCTGTAAATAGTTTTTTGAAGGCAAAACCATTAACAGTATCAACAGTAACCACTGTTACTGTTAATGATAAACTGAACATTATTTTTGTCAGAAATTGAATTCACGCAGTGAACTAAAAAGGTTAAGCTTTCTACACGTCTACAAAATTTTCGATTAAAATTTTCATATTTTTCAGATCGTGAAAGCAGAAAATACCCAAAGAAAGTTGCTTCTTCTTTTCATCTAAAATTCTACAGATGATCTATACATTTTTTCCAAATAGTTTTATTGGTACTGCAAACTTATGCCATTTTTTAAGAACTCTTTCGATTTCCACATTTATTATTTCTATTGTCATTATTACTCCGCGAAAACAAAATGAACCACCAAAAATACCAAACGCACATTTTGAAATGAGTACTACAATTTACTTTGGTAAATACAGCACACGATAATGTTAATTTTAGTAGATCTATCAGACTTTTTCGATGCAGGAATATACGAAACCAGACTTCGACAGCAACACTTTTCTCTATACTTGTTAAAGTCATCAAGGCAATTGTTAACGTACCATCATTCACTTTTTCTTTCGTCAAAGACAATGATTCGCCATTTGAAATCATATCTGCCGCAACCTCCATTTTCGGATTTATCAATTTGTATAACATCGATCTTATCTTTTATCTTCTCATGACAATATACACTTTTTTCTTAATTTTTCCAATTCGATTACGTTATTTTCCTTTTTCAAGGAGGCACTGTAAAAAGTATGTTTTCACTAACTGAACAAACTATTTGAAAACACTTCGTAATATATATTAATATGAAATTCAATTGATTACTAGGGAAATTTTCGGGTCAATAACTTGGACCGAGTTGTTTTTTAATAGAAATAATTCTGCATATTTATTAAACATCGAGTGTTTATAATAAATTAGCTCATTCAGATCACGTTTGCATTTTTGTCGGAAAATGAAAGATTTCGTACGATATTTTTCAGAATCTTACCTAATGCAATATGCAAACTTCAGAACAGAATACATCATGATTATTTGTTTTCAACAAATGCAAATTTTTTTGTACGTAAATATAAAAACTCTTCAAAAGTTGGTAAGAGTATAGTTACAAATGAGCAAATACGGCCCTGTTCATGGTGGTGTGAAAGAGCGGATACATTCACCAAAAAGTTGATTGGTTAACGAAATCAGAGCCTGTTAGTTCAAGGAACTCAATATAGGTTGGTATTTGATGGATCTTATTACATACCTACCAACAGAAAAATTGACATATCGCTAAACATATATTTGTTTCTCGAGGACCTTCTTAAAATAATTTCACAATAATACTTGTGCAAAGAGGAAATATACAGTGCATTCCTTTAATGCTGCCCCTTTTATTTTTTGAACAGGTCAACTCAAAAAATTGAAATTTGGGATAATGAAATAAATGCATGGATACTTTAATTTTGAAGTGAAATTGACAGATGAAACTTTCAAAATGGCGACTAGGCGACATCTGGGAAAAAAATAAAAAGGAAGGGGGGGGTCTTGTGGCACATCTTTTTGAAGCTCCTGATAAATTCTTCACACCCCTAGAATATAATGTCAATATCTTCAACTACTACAAAATGGCGGAACTTTCAATAATTGCCTGAATATATCGACATTTAACCACATAATATGAGGTAATAAGCTTGAGGTCAGTTTAGAAGATACTCAAAATAGTTGCCTTGAACTTCTTGACATATGAACAGCCTATCCGATATTTCACGCCGAACATTTTTGAACACACTAACGTCAATATGTCTACAAATATTTATTATTCTCTGTCGTATATCCAATATTGAAGCAGGTTCAGTTTCATACATCCTTTGCTTCAAATAGCCCCATTAAAAAAGTACAAAGTGTCAAATCTGGCGGGCGTGCTGGCCATTCTGTAGGACGTCAACGGCCAATCCAACGACTAGGAAAAGTAGTATCCAAATAGTTTCTTACTTGTCTGGATTAATGTGATGATACTCCATCTTGTTGGAATACAATATCCATATCGAATTCATTAGTATTCGCTTCGACGATTTCAGTGATGAGAGGGTCAACAATAATTTCCAGCATATTCCAATACAGTTTCCCTGTTAAATTTTGATCAATGAATAGAGGTACTTCAATATGGTTTTCCAATATTCCTGCACAAACGTTATTTGTTTCTGGATATTGGGTTTATGTTTCCCAGATAACGTGAGAGTTGGTGTCACCCCAATTTTTTATAAACAAAAAAAACTTAACAAACCCTATCGGGTAGTTGGAATTGCCATATGCTAGATAAAAAGGCATATTTCTAGAAATATCGATATTAATGTTTTTGTCTTCAGGAAATTATTAAATGTTCCGCCATTTTGTAGTA